CATCGATTGTCCCCCTGTTGATCTCCTGTTTAGGCTAAGGAGTACCCTTCTGAGTTAGGTTCGATAGGACACCCTTCTAGTTGAGTGACGGGCTTTATACATCCGGGTGACCGAGTAGCATTCGACGACCCTGAGTACTAATTTATAGTTGAGCCTAGCCCCGACTCGAGTGCTTGCGGTCCCCCTCTTTTCAGACTTTTTTATATGTTTTCTTGGGATTTTTGGACAAAGCACTCGTGGTCTCTTTTTGAGATTTTCCATGTGTTTTCTACAATTTTCATCGATTCGTCGATTTCCTCATTTTTTTCTTGTCGCGAGTCTTGTGACGATTTTTCTCGAGATTTCTGGGTGATGTTTCTTTACTTTGTTTATATAAAGCATTTCAGCATGCTTCCTCAAACTTTGTTGCTTGTACCTGATTGCATCAATTACACCTAAGGAACTGCGGATCTCCCAGGTATGCAGGTTTGTTTTGTGTTTACAGTATGTTACTTTATACATCCGGGTGATCGGGTAGCCTTCGACGACCCTCGAGTACTAATATATAGTTGAGCCTAGCCCCAACCCGAGTGCTTGCGGTCCCCCTCTTTTCAGACTTTTTCATATGTTTTTTTGAGATTTTTGAACAAAACACTCATGGTCTCTTTTCGGGATTTTCCCCGTGTTTTCTACAATTTTCATCGATTTGTCGATTCGTCAATTTCCTCGCATTTTTCTTGTCGCGAGTCTTATGACGATTTTTCTCGAGATTTTTGGGTGATGTTTTTTTTTACTTCGTTTATATAAAGCATTTCAGCATGCTTCCTCAAACTTTGTTGTTTGTACCTGATTGCATCTATTACACCTAAGTAACTGCGGATCTCCCAGATATACAGGTTTGCTTTATGTTTACAGCATGTTACTTTCTTGCAACTCACCTACCTATTGTACTTTTTACTTTTCCTTTACCCTGTATGTTGTACTGTTCTCTCTACTGCATACTCAACTGTTTGTCCTGTGCTACATATTCTACTGTTATGCTATACACTATACAACTTCAACATGTTCCCTATAAAATATCTGAAGAACTACAACATAGGACCGCTGGATTTGACATTATAACCTGACACCCTAGAAAACTTAAACTCGTCACGACTAGGAGCTTGGAACTAGCGCGGTGGGCAGCACGACCATCTTCAACAGCAGAACATGTCTTCCCCAGCTAAACCATTCCTTTCCTAGAAATTAAAACAACAATTCATAAGATTTCGAGCATGTTCGCCTAGCGCAACATAAATCCTCAACCTTTTCTTTAGACATTTGTATAGCTCTGTTGTACGATCTAAGCCCTAACTCGTTTTAGGATTTTGAGGTTGTCATTCGTTACGACCTAAATCCTCACATCTTCCAGGCTATTTGTGTGATCGTTTCACACGAATGTAAGTCATAAATAGATAAAATTGGCAGGATAAAACACTTGAATATTTCTCCTTGAAACTGAAGCCAAACCATTTGGTAGATTGGGAAGTCACCGAGGATCTCATCTGGATCTGTGGCATCCCCTAATTCTTTTCATTTGGATTCTGTGATAAATCTTCCAAATTTCTGGATCTGTGGCATCCCCTAATTCTTCTTCATTTGGATTCTGTGATAAATGAGTCATTCCCCTTTTACACCTTTTTGTTTGATTTCGTTAAAAAATATCATCCTTTTGAAGTCCTTGAAGATAATTTTTCCTGATTTTTATCGAAAGTATTTTTAAGTGACTTCGGTCATTTAAGATGTAATTAACTATAGGGGCTTGCCATAGGAAGCTTTTTTGAACCCAGCTAAAAATAAACCCTATTTAATTTTTCATATTAAATAGGGGAATTTTCGGCAAATAAAACAGTTTCGCAGACCAAACGGATGTCATATATTTCTTAGTTTATTTGATCGAGTCTCATCCATAAATCTTGTGTTTATCCCTCGGGATAGACACAATGTTTGAGGTAGAGTGCTCTTTCATTTAAACTGTGAAAATTATGGAGTCAGTTTGATTTCATATTTTTCTAGACTTAAATCTATATGTAAATTAAAATGTCTTTCCCAAGCGGGCGATGGGATTTCGGTTCCGGTGACCGACAACTTCTTACGGGCAACTCCGACAGTGAGACAAATGGCTAGTTTCATACATATGGTTCTCAGTGCAGAGAGAGTTTTAAGACATCCTGTTCTATAACTTATCATTGTTTGGGGAGATTCAAACTACCCTCACTTCAAATTTAGTTGAGCCAAGCTTGGGCTACTTTTTGAGGATTTCACAAAGTATACTTAACAAGAAGGCTCAGTTCATTTACGTAAGTATATTTCCAAAATATTGGACCAATATGGATCGTTACTTGCAAGCACGGAAGGGGATATGAAAGATAACAACTGCATATAATTGTTTTCCTTGCATTCTCAATTCCAGCCACCTGTCCTCACTGCTGTTACCCTGACAGCCGTCCTCTTGCTACTGTGCAGTCCCACTTATTCTCTATCGCTCCTGCCGACATCCCCCCTTGCTGCAATCGCCCTCCCAAAAATAGCTATTTTATTGTGTTTTCTATTGTTCCAACCACTCAGTCATCTGTTTTTCTCATTCCAGCTTGTTATCATTGCCGCAACTCCTCTCATTCGCTGTCATTGTCACCCTCTCTCATTCCAGCCCCTCGGGATGGCCAATTTTTGCTCATTACTCCCATTTACAGTAATTCCCTACTTGTTGCCGCTCAGGACAACAATTCGACGACATCTTGCCACTATGTCCCCACAGCCCTACACCTTTCCGGTCTTGCCTCCGCCTTTCTAAGCTCGTAACAACCACCACCACATCTCATGATCCACCTTAGTTGAGTATTTGTGTTGTGTCTGTTGCTGTGTCAGATTTTTGGGTGTTGTGTTGTATTTTATCTTTCAAGTGTGCTGGTTGTAGTCGCTTATTTGCTTTTAGTAATAATACTTATTTTTTTATTGTGGCTTGGGCTAACTCCGGTATCATTTGGTATCAGAGCTAGTCTAACCTTAGTCCTACCCTAGGGTTTCTAGTATCCACTAATACTCAACCTTATCTCCATCCAAATTTTTTCTTTCTCGCCTTAAATAACCCCACACACCTCCTTTCACCTACCCACACTCAAAATCGAATCACACTGCTGAGACAAGTGCCAAACACCAATCAAGAGTATGCTATGGAATAGATATTGTGATAACTCTGTCGAGTTGTACAACGACTTGATAAAATTGAGGAAAGAGGACCTTTCAATGGGTCACACTAACTCGATTTGACTACATAGATGAGGTTCCTATTAGAGGATATAGTGATGAAGTATCTGTTAAAGTATATAGATGTGAAGTGTCTGTTAGAGATTTCAAAGCTGAAGAACCTCTATTCCGAAGATTTAATGGAAGCGGATCTAGCGAGGAAGTGGTTGTAAAATAGAAAGAGAATAATAATATGTGATGTCGACGGTGTTTGGAAGGGGATAGGGGTCATTCGATGGTTGTCCGGCTGGAAGACCATGAGTCGACGGAGAAATGGCAAGGAGGTTCCATAACATATTCCTAAACAAGCTATAGAGGCACCACTTTCAAAAGGAAGAAGATACAACATTTCTTATAATAGTAATCGGGGAATAAAATCTCCAAAATACACAAAAATAAAGCTAAAGTCTCAAAATAGCAAATACAACATATAAAGAGTCTACTAATAAAAAATAACCCTAATTAGAAATTATAAAATAGGAAATAAGGGTCGCATCCATGAGACCCGTAATAGCTAAAAGGAAAAAATCGGGCTATATCTGCTACCGGGACAGAATCTGCCTGGTTCGTCCTCCCATCAATCCTAGGGTCTTCGATTCCACTGTATTGTGCAATCCCACAATCAGTGTGGCATTCGTGTCGCACTCCCCGATAGTTTATTTTTCATCTTCTTCTATAGAAGCTTATGGAATCGATCTACTACCACCATAACCAAGTTATTACCTTGTATCTATGGCAACTCCACTATAAAATTTATGCTCACGTCCATCCCAGACAACTCTGAAACATAAAGTCATACCGAAGTCTATTTTGGTAGAATAAATAGTAATCCTTTTTTGGTAACGGGAGCTGCAACTATACACAGCTTAGTCTTCTCACGAACCAAGTCTCGAGCCATTAAGTCCATGGATGTTGGCTTAGAGTGAACAACATTAGTTAAGTGGTGGTTTAGGACCAACTGGCTTAGAGTGAACAACATTAGTTAAGTGGTGGTTCAGGACCAACTTTTGTTTTTCGTTTTTTGTTTTTGAAAACAAAAAATAGGAAATAAACATAAAAATAGTGTTTGCTTATCTAATTTTTGTTTTTTATTTTTTGGGATAACACTTCTGTTTTTAAAATACTAAAAATAGAAAAAAATATTGTTTTGCCTATTTTAAAACACCAAATCAAACCTCCGCCTAGCCCCCCCACCCCACACCCCTCCTCCACTCGTCACAACCACCAGCCATCGTCGCCCGTTGCCCGTTGCCCGTCGCCCGTCGCACGTCGCACGTCGCACGTTGCCCGTTGCCCGTCGCTAGTCTCCACAACAGCCAACCCCCTCCAGCCCTCTTTGCCTGCCGTCGTTGGCCCTCGCCGGCCTTTGCCAACAGTGTCGCCTCCATTGCCGGTCCATTGCAGATCATCGCTAGCCGCCCGGCAGCCTGCCCACCCGCCCTCTTCGCCCGCTCACAGGTAATGCTTCGGGTTGGGTGGAGTAAGGAAAATGTTTATGCAATGAGCGACAAAACTTAATAAACAAAAAACAAAACACAATTGAAATAGTCTAAAAACAAAAATAAAAATAAAAAAGAGAAAGTGATCCCAAATATACCTAAACCATTGGAAAATTCCAATATTATCATCTTTTTTATTTTCTTGTTTTATATCTGACTCGTGCTCTCTACAAGAATATTATGAAAGCCTTTCATTTGTTTTAATTGCGTAATTTACAATTGTATTTCTCTATGCAGTACAAACTTATAAAGAAGATAACTGAGCAAGTGAAGCAGCTTGCAAAAGATAAAGAAGAAGAATTCTCAATGACAAGCTCATATGACGTGCTTCCTCCATATGACCAAGCGAAGGCTCTTGGGAAAATTAACATTGACGTAGATCGTATTGCTGCGGGATTGCCTTGTGGAAGTGAAGGGTTTCTCTTAATGTTTGCCCGCTGGAAAAAGCTTGAGAGAGACCTATACAATGAACGCAAGGAGTACGTTACCAGACAAAACCTAATGATACGACCTTCTGATTAATAATAAATTTATAACTTGTGAAGTTTACACTGATAGTCATGTATTAAAGAGACATTTTCTTTATTTAATTTAAGGATTTTACATTTTGTCTCAATTGTTGCAACTTGTGTCTTGATTGTTGCACTGCAATTCAGCAAGAAAGCATTCAACTAATATTGTTTATCTTAATTGCAGCCGGTTTGATATTACACAGATTCCAGATGTCTACGATTCCTGCAAGTAAGAAGTTTTCATTTCTTCTGTATTTTGGATTTATTAAATCTTGCTTTTCTTAACTACTTTTTAATCTCAAACGAATGTTTTACTGTCACAAGCATTCGTACTTATCATACATGCATTAAAAATTTTGTATGTGTTCAAATTTATCAGTGGCCTCGTAGGGAATTACATAATAGAAGATTCTCTCTTCTCTCATCATGGCTCAAAGAATTGATTGTCCACTTTTTATTTTCTGATGACTAGATGGAAAGCTTTTGTAACGTTTTGTTACCTCGAGAGAAGAAACGGCAGAAAGATAGGAAGCGAGGAGTCGGGTGAACTGAAAATAAGAAGAGGAAACGAATAATTAGAAGCCGAAGAGAGGAAGCGGGAACCAAGAGTCGATCGAGTAGGAAGATGAGGCGAGGAATCAGAGAAACTGCAGGTTACTTCGGCCTATAAAAGGAACATAAGGAATGCAGAGGGAGACCAATCTACTTGGGAGCCGAGCAATGAGTGAAGGAGAGGAAAACAACGCGGGAGAAGACCTAGTCGACGACAAGGAGGTTGGAGGAAGTATCGGAGTCGGGGTCAGGCTGTGGAGGGAGGATGATCGGTTTTGTGATGTGATCAGAGGAGTCGAAGGAGAGGAAGTCACAAAGGAGACGTGCGATCCTCTGCGATTGAGCCGAAGAAGAATAAATAGAGGGGGCGGAGTGTGCAGGAGCCTTGGTCGAACCGAGTCTTTAAGGAGGTAATGGTTGTTTTTTTATGTAAGCAGTAATAATATAATAATATATTTATTGAATAGAAAAATAAGCATAATAAAAAAATTGAATATTTAACTAAAAGATAATAATTTACTTAAAATAATAAATAAATTAAGTTTTATATCATATTTTTGTTAGGTTTTCAGTTTTAGAATAATTGACGTCAAGAGCAAGCAATGTCTTTTGTCGAGGTGAGTACTTTTACTTCTAAATTCTAATGTTGTATTTCTTAGAAATCACTCGTATTAGTCAAGATATCTTATTACTGTAATTGAAATATGATTATTTTGGCTTATTATTCAATTTGATCATCTAGAAATGAATGTGAATGATTTGCATAGTTATACTTATGTACTACACATGCATGTTATAAAAGAAAGATATTGGATAATATTTAGAATGTAAACGAAATGATTTATAGTATATTTGTATGTGCATGCTTGGTTAATGATGGAGCATCCCTTGATAATACTAGTGGAGAAACACTAATGTAAACGTGTATGTAAATTGAAAAAAGATATTGATATTGATATGTCTTAATTAACAAAATTCTTAGACGGTGACTCTTGTGACAGTTGTATAAATACGATATGATTTTGATATATTATTGGTGTAGTAAAACTCTTTGAGCAGCATCAAATATTTAAATTGATTTATTAAAAAGTTTAACGACATGTATATTATTTCTTTTTCTTTGTATTGTTGTAGCCTAGGAATATGAGTATTCACTGTTTCGTTTAGCTTACAGTTGTTTTAAACTTATAGTCTTGTAGTTTAGGAATATGAGTATTCACTGATTCGTTTAGCTTACATTTCTTTTAAACTAACTTTTCAGGTTAATTTAATTGATTAAAAGATGAATGATAGAAGAGAAAATGTTTATAGAAAATGCAGATAACCATAAACAATGTATTTTTAATTGTATCTTTTTAATTTAATTGTAGTGACTCTTTCATCCGTTAAATTATAGATGAATATAGAAATTTTGAATCACACCGCCCAACCATCTTTACTTGACATGGTTAATTCCAAACCCTGGGCTCGATCGTGACAAAAGTGGTATCAGAACCAAGTTTTATGATTAACTAATAAAATCTTAATGAAAGAGCCAAAAGGATAATTTTTAGAAAAATTTTCATAATTATAAAAATAATTATTATTCATTCAAACATTGTGATACACCTAAAATCATAGAAGAAGATGGTCCAATAGAAAATGAAGTAGTACAACCTACTATGAATGTGAACATGAATGTCCTCACCCACATGATGATGGCGACGACTCAACTTATTCAGGAGTCTAGATCGCAGCCTAGTGATTTAGTTGGTGTGGATGAATACTTGAAGGTCTAGATCGCAGCCTAGTGATTTAGTTGGTGTGGACAAATACTTGAAGATATTTCAAGATCTACGTCCACCTTTGTTCAAGGGAACTGAAGACCCAATTGAAGCGGAGAACTGACTAATTAGGATAGATAAGATATTAGATAGCATGAATTGTCTGCATGAAAGAGGAGTACCGTTGGCGTCGTTTGTACTGGATGGAGAAGTTGAAAGGTGGTGGTGTGGGCAGCGTCGGGACAGATTAGGGGACATGCCCAACACAATAAGTTTGGAAGAGTTCGTGGACCTTTTTAGAGAGTGGTTTGTACCTCTATTTGCTTGAGACAGATGCATGACAAATTATTCAAGTTGAGGCAAGGAGAGAAGGCGGTCACGTATTACAAAGCAGAATTTACTACACTATCGAGTTATGAGCCACAGTTGATCGTTACTGCAGAAGAAAAATGTTACATATTCCTTTCGGGATTAAAAGATTCTATAAGACATCCATTAGTACATTTAAGGATCGATAAATACTTGGTATTGGTGGAACAAGCTAGAAGAGTGGAGATGGACTATCAGCTTACTCAGAAGCGTAAAGAGATGCACAAGCAGGAGACTGTAGAAGAGCAAGTAGATCACTCAGAAGAATCCAATAAGTCCAAGAATAATTCGAGTAGAGTTGACAGAGGTACAACTCAGGGTACTAGAGTCACTTGTGCCAAATGTGGAAGACAACATAAAAGTTAAAGCTTGATGAGCTCTAACATTTGCTATTAGTGTCTTCAGTCTAGTCATATAGCAAGATATTGTCCATCTCCTAGCCATAAAAGCATTGAAGATCAGAAATTTGGTGGAGCTTCTTTATAGAAGTATGCAGGTGGGCAGAAAAAGATAGAGTCTATAGCTTCAGCTCCAACCCAAGGTTAACCAAGTCAACATGTTCAACCTTGAGCATATTCCCTTTACCTATAATAAGCCTGAAGAACCTACTGTCGTTGATGGTAATGAAGTCTGATGAGTTTGGCTATTTTTTTAAAACACTCTTTTGTTTTATTATTGTTATCTGAAGTATAACTGATTCACCTTGTATCGAGTCTTTATCGTTATTGTGATTACATTTCATATGACCCTTAAATTCATGGATAGCTAATGTTGGTCTGCTTAATGAAGAATGACTTGAGGCATGTTTATAAATTTCGGACTAAATTTTTGTAAGCGGGAAATATTGTAACGTTCTGATACCCCGGGAGAAGAAACGGTGGAGATAGGGAGCGAGGAATCGAGTGAACCGATAATAAGAAGAGGAAACAAATAGTTAGAAGTCGAAGAGAAGAAGATAGAATGCAGAGTCAATCAGATAAGAAGATGAGGTGAGGAATCGGGTAAATCGAAGGTTACTTCGGTTTATAAAAGGGACATGAGGAATGCAGAGGGAGACCAACCTACCTGGGAGTCGAGCAACGAGCGAAGAAGTGGAGAACAACGTGTGAGAAGCCCTAGTTGACCATGAGGTTTGAGGAAGTATCGGCGTCGCAGTCGAGCTGTGGAAGGAGGGCGATCGATGTCGTAACGTGATAAGAGGAGTCAAAGAGGAGGAAGTCACAAAGGAGACATGCGATCCTGTGCGATCAAGCCGAAGAAGAAGAAAGGGAGGGGCTGAGCGTGCAGGAGTAGGTTGAGCCAATTCTTTGAGGAGGTAATGGTAGTTTTTTTATTTAAGTAATAATAATAATAATATAATATATTTGTTGAATAGAAAAATAAGTATAATAAAATAACTTTAATTCTTAACTAAAAGATAATACTTTATGTAAAATAATAAGTAATTTAAGTTTCATATCATGTTTATGTTTGATGTTTAATTTTAGAAGAATTGATGTCAAGAGCAAGCCAATTGTCTTTTATCGAGGTCAGTACTTTTACTTCTAAATTATGATAATAATATTATATTTATTCTAAATCACTCACATTAGTCAAGATATCTTATTACAACAACTAGAATATGATTTTTATGACTTATTATTCAATTTAATCATCTAGAAATGAATGTGAATGACTTGCGTAATTATACTTATGTACTACACGTGCATGTTTTAAAAGAAAGATATTGGATGATATTTAGAATGTAAATGAAATGATTTATAGTATGCTTGCATGTGCATGCTTGACTATGATGGAGGACTCATTGATCGTACTAATGAGGAATACTAATGTACTCATACATGTAAATGAAAAAGGATATTAATATGATTTATTTTAATGGATATAATTTTTAGACGGTGATTCCTGTGACAGTTTGTAAATATGATAATATTGATATGTTATTGATATAATAAGACTTTTGAATAACATCAAATATTTAGCTAATTTATTAAAAAGTTTAACAGGCTTGCATATTATTTAATTTTTCTTGTATTGTTGTAATTTAGGAGTATGAGTATTCAGTGGCTCGTTTAGCTCAAAGTTGTTTTAAATTAATTTTTCAGGTTAATTTAATTGATTACAAGATCGAGTAAAAAAATATTTATAGAAGACGCGGACAACCATCAACAAGGTAATTTTAATTGTACTGTTTTAATTTAGTTTGTAGTGGCTCTTTCATCTATAAAATTGTAGACGAATAAAGAAAATTTAAATCACATCGTCCGACCGTCTGTACCCCGCCCTGGTTAATTCCAAGCCACGGGTCGGGTCGTGACAACTATAAGGTTATATGATGTTAGAACTCTAAAAATTTTCTTAACCAAAGAATTACAAAGCTCACCTAACTTCTAGGATAATTCTAGTTTAATATTGATCATGATGATCTTGGTCTTAAAGAGACAAACTACTCTAGCTTCTGAAAGCCCGCACCTCATCCTTTATTGAGAGAGTTTTGTGTTAGTTCAAATCAATTTTGTAAAAGATAAATTAGATTGTAAAAAAG